CCACGCCTCCCGATACTGCTGCATCTTTGTCTCCCCTGTCGTGTGCCTCCGACCTGGGATCCAGTCCCGCACCAACCACCAAGGTGGGGGCCACTACCATCGCCACCTCCTCCGTCGTGGGGCCATCCAGCTGTGCGACACCACTGACCCGCCAGTCCCGCCCTTGGTCATGTCTGGCCGGGCTGCCAGAAGCCGTATCTCCTCGGGTTCAACATCTTTATCCATCAGGGTCGCATCAAATCGCGCGTGGGAGTCCATCAGAACTGCTTGCTGCATGATTGGTGCCGGAATCGTCGCCCCCTCTCCAAAGGACCGTTCTGGAACCACCTGTCCAACCACCTGCCTCCTCGAAGCACACGCGCCAGTGGGATTCGAAATTCAAGTCGTCCCCGTGGCATCCTTGTCCACCTGTCCGGGTCCAGAAGCGATCCGGTCAAAAGCAGACTGACGCACCGTCAGCCTATCGTGGGCGCGGACCCCGGCCCCACCACGACATCTCTCTCTAGCCTGGGCCATGGGGGGAATCTTCCACTCCGACGATGGCGCTCCGTCGCGGGCCACGCCGCCGGCATAGCTCCGGCCACCTCCCGACCCTCCGGCATTGTCACCCCTCGAGTCACGGACCCCAAACCGCCAGCCAAAGTTCTGCGTGTTAGCGCCTCCTCCCATATCCATCTCTGAGTCCGGCAGGCCGCTTTGGCCACTGTCCGACGAGCCGCCCAAGAACCACGGTTCCTTCCCCTCCGGGAACGAAATCACAGAGTCCAGATGTATGAGCACTTTGTATTGCAGAGTCTTGGGCTGGAAAAGCGCCCTCTGCTCCTCCGGCTCCGGCACCGCGAGCCAGCGGTGGGTGGGGATTTGCTCCGGGTCCGCCGTCCAGGCCAGCAACTTGAACGCAGCAAGATCTGAACGAGCAGAGGTCTCCGGCGCAACGGAATCGATGATACATGCACCGCCCAACAAACTCTTAATCACCTCAAGCTCCCATGCGTGCGCCGGGATCCCCTCGATGACCAACCTCACCTTGAAGCGCATGGCCGTGAACACCTCCTGTGACTGCCTGATCCACTGCCGGAACAACAACCTGTGCCCATCAAGCTCCAGCACCGACCGCCTGCTCAACAGATTCCTGTCCTCCTGTCTAGCAAAGACCACCAGGAAATCCTCCGGCCAGAACTTGTGCACCGAAAATCTGTCCTCAGGGATGCCCATCCTGTCTTTCAGAGCACGCCTCACCAGCTCCGGCGAGATCTCTGACCTGTCCCCACCAATGTACACCACCATGGCTTTGTGAAGCCGGTGCTCAATGTCATCCATGGCGCGGGTCCTCCTTACAACGCACAACTCTGACGGCTCCATCTCCGTATCAACCGCCACCTCCAAGCGCGGCACAGCGAGCCGCGGCCACACCGGGTCCGCCGCAGGATCAGCCAAGGGCGGCGGTGGTGCGGCCCTGGCAGAAGCAGCGTGCCTGGCCGACCCAGACCCCACCTCGTCCCGCGGTGCGGAACGGCGAGCCACCTTAGCCGCCGCATCCCGACGGAGCTCCTCCACCGGCGACGGGCTGCGCGGCCGCTTGCACTGCGAGGCGACATGACCGGGAGCCCGCAGCGGAAGCACACCACCTCATTGGTGCAGTCCTTGAGAAAGTGCCCTTTTGCAAGACACCGAAAGCACTTGTCCCGCATCTCCGGCGAGACCTCCTTCCTCACCGGCGAGGGGCAGCGCGGAGCCCCAGCTGGCAGATCCACACCCACCCTCCTCTTCCACAGGGTCTTCTTCGAAGCAGGGGCCGCCTGCCATGGGGACACACGCCGGCAGGTCTCCGGCACGGCACCCTTCAGCAGAGGCGCGGCCGGTGGCGCGCCGGGCGCCAACGGGCCAGCCACGTCCTCGGCGGATCTCTCGAAAGCTGAGGAGATCCCCAGACCAGAGACGACGGGCCTCTCCCGAGGGAACACGGAGTTGACGGAGCGGGGGCTCTCCGCCATGGCCAGGAAGCAGAGAGCGGGGGCGGAGAACAAAGGGGGGGGAGGTCGGGAGGGTGGGAGTCAATGCAAGAGCGCTCAAGTAATTTCGACCCCAACTCCCCAAGCGGCAGCCGCTCGCCGCCGGCGAAATGCTCACCTACCCCAGCGATCATCGGGGTTATCCTCCGCAGCACGTGGCGGTATCCCCCTTCTCTACCGCCGCCGCCCCCTTCACCGTGGACGGGCTCCATCCCGCGGACCAAACATTCCCCAGCCCTAGCCTCGATGCCCCCGGCGTCACTTCCCTCTACGCGACGGGCGAGTGGGGGAATGCGTCGTGGATGGAAGCCCCCGTGAGATACATGGCCCCGGACGCCGCCGCTTCCGCCTCACCAGGGTATACTGGTAACGCCTTTACCCTACACCAACTCCTGTTACTAGTGCTTTAGTGAACTTGTGATCGATAGATGCGGGAATTCCTTGGGGGTAGCATCTTCTGTTGGTCTGTTGTTCATTCTCGCATAGGTTCGTATGATTGTTAGGTGAACCGATGCAGTGGTTTGATCCATTGTTGAATGGCGAAACTAGCGGCAGTACCGTATGTGCACAATTGAAGATATGAAGGCGGATTGTACATGGTCAAACTAGCCTGTTACAGTTTTTCTTGCGTGCTTGTGCGGAATCAGAGTTAACTACAGCACTTTCTGTTGCTGCCTTATGCTAGATCCTGTGATCAATGGACAATGGGGTTGGCTGCTGGCATATCTGAGAGCATGATTCCATTTTGACACCTTGCCATTTTGGCATCAGAGGCAGTCATATAAACTGTTTTTTTTTTCTTCTCTAAGAGCCGAGCCCTAGCTAGGCTACTTCTGTTCACACGCTAAAATTTTGAGAAGCATACTATACTCTGTTAGTAGGATTTTAACTGGATGGTAGGTATATGTTTGTCAAGTGTTGGATACTAGTACCTTAGAGAAGAAAAGAAGATGCAGATCAATAAAGTTGCCGCAGTGGTTCCCAGAGTATGTGCCATATGGAGCACTATCAAAAACTTCACCTACAATATGCATGACATTGCAAGAAATAATGAAACCATCAGAATTTGATAGAACAATTGATTGGTTTTGTCAATCAAATACTCCCTCCGTCCCAAAATAAGTGACCCAACTTTGTACTAACTTTAGTACAATGTTAGTACAAAATTGAGTCACCTATTTTGGGACGGAGGGAGTAATATACTTACTGAAAATTGTATAACACACTAGCTGAGTACCGTTCTTTTGCTACGTATTTCATACGAAATATATAATAACAGAAAAAAAAACAATGTTCTGTCTGTCTTTATTCCTCTCTCTCTCTCAACTTGCCCTTTGTTCTGCTTCCGCCACGTGAATTACAACAGATCATTTTTTTCCCTTTACCCCCTCTTCGTCTGCCCTAGGCACAACCTTTGTCTCTGCCTCCATTGCAGCATCCCAGTTCCATGTCACGTCAATCGACACTGTTTTCAACTTTATCATATCCCTGTCACGGTTTCAGTCACTATGGTGGTGCATGGAGTGCCTTGTTATAATATGGATATCAAAGAAGAGATATGTCTCTATACTACTTAAAAAAAAGAACACCATTCCTTTCCTGCCAGACAGAGTGCTTCATCCAACCTTACGTACGTTCCCCACTCCCTTTTCCCTTTGATTTTCCCCCTCCTATCTCTGGTTTTTTCACCTGTTTTCCTTTAAAACCGTCTTAACTGTCCCATCTTTTATTGAAAAACCGAATAAAATCATATTTTTTCTGGTAAGCCAATAAACTCTTACCAAATAAGTGGTTTCTATTTAGATAATAAATCACGGGCAGAATTTTATGAACATTTATTTACACAATCACATTAATATGGGAAGGTAAATCATGGGCTAATGTACTAGAATATTTATACCCTGTTGCAACACACGGGCAATTATCTAGTAATAACCTAACAAACAGATAGTGTGTGCCATATTTATCTGCCCTCTCTGCTCACCCCTCAGAACTGCCTCCACCGTTGTGCACCACTGTGATAATCAACTCCAGCAAATCTCAATTGTGTTTCTTGTTGCTTCTTATAGTAGATTTCAGTGTATAAGAGGGCATGCGACATAGGAAATTATTAAATAGAAGTGGGGTGGTTGTAATCACAGTTCACCAGGGATCAAACCCCAGGTTTGACGCCCTGTTTGTCTCATTAATGCTTATTTTTCTTCCAGTGGAAGGTGGCATCTCCATCGATACTGATTCCAGTGTATATTGTATACTCGGAATGTATAAAAAAGATAAAATTATTTTTTTGTCAATATTGAAAAAGATAAACTAACCTGTTAATAGTTCTTCATTTATGCTAGTTTGAAACGGTATTTTCTATTTTGGATGTGTGGGTGGTTAATAATTTTTTTAGCAGATAACTTTGCAAGAAGGTGGCCCATTTACTGCTATACATGTTAACAAACTTCTTGTGAAGAACATTTTATTTTGTGTTGGATCAGTTGAAGAGGATGAACTTCAGCAATGAGTAGTTGGACATGATAAAGCTTGGTTAATTGCAATGGGTGCATTATAAAAGGCTCTTGCTTGACATTTTAATTTATGTTGGATTACTTGGAGGAGATCAACTTCAGCAATGAATAATTGCACATAACAACGCTTGCTAATTGCAACGGGTGTATTGTAAAAGGCTCTTGCCTGATAAATAAACTAATTAAGTTAATACACGAGCAAGCAGAGCAACCTCACCAATCCAGGAACTTGTCGAGAAAGTTCAGTCTACTAATGGTTTTGTACTATAAGTTCGCTGTCAGCAACAGAATGCCTTCCTAAGTAAACTGTTTGATCATATTGGTGCTGAAAATGCAGGACATTATCATCTGAATAAGGATCTTTCAGGCCCTGCGACAAGCCCCATTGATGTTGCTCCTTCATTTCCTGTTAAGAGTCTGACAAGTGAAATCACAGTTGGAAATATTTCCTGTCGAGCAGCAGAGGCAGAGAAAAATGCAAACACTCAAATACTTACAAAAGAAGGTCAAGAACACTCTCACTGCCATCCAGATGCTGAGGAGAACTTGTTGCAGATGTCTGACTCTAGCTCTAGGAATCAGGCCACATTCCTGAAGCTAATACACAATTTGTCAGTAGTGCTTCTGTCTACTTGCAATGGTGGTTCTTCGTTACAGGAATATGAAGAGAAGATTCTGAAATCTGTTATTCGAAATCTTAAAGCTGCTTCTTCCAAAGGAGGCAAGGTACTTTGCAAATGCCTTTATATCGCATAGTTATTTATGTCACAATTTTTAGACCATAGAAAAGCTGCCAGATTTATAGAGAGCTTCACAACCTGAATATGCTACGAATATGTGATGATAACTGGTAAATTGTTGCAATCCAAAATACTAGACCTGCAATATAGCTCCACCAAAACAGGAAAATCAACTTAGACATACTATTACCGAGACGACCGTACTAAATTCAGATAACAAAATGTTTTGCTCAGCTACAACCGGAAATTGTAGTTCATGAAAACCAGTGTAACACTTGAGATGTTCTGATTAGAAGTTTGAACTCAGTGATGAAATTCAGATATATTAGTTTTATTAACTGATGGAAGATATGAAAGTTGTTAAAACACCCGACGTAACCGGTGCTTGTGATATGAGTATATGATTCATATTTACAGAAAATATGTCGTTAGTCATTACTTTCACTTCTTTGACCTGGTACATTTATCCTCCTGTACTAGTTCCCCTTCAAGTGGCATGCAAAAATAATGTTGCTTTTCAGACATTAAATATACATATGGACTGTTTGTTGGTTAGCTTTTACTCATTTCTGTTTTTCTGTCTTGTACAAGGCTACATTAAAAAGCGATGATTGTTTGAGGGACTCCGTTCAAATCAGTTGCTTGAGAAACAATTTGTTGGTGGCAATGCCTGAACACTCAGTGTCAGAGAGCACAGATTCAGAATTTAAGACATCTATTTCACAGGTAACTTTGGTCATATTTGGAATACATTGATTCTTAATTTGGACGAACAATTCTTTTTTTCGAGTATGAACCTCATGTATTCTTATGTTCAGGCTCTTTCTAAGCTCCCAGAGGGTAATATGCTCGATGATACTGAAGTTTCTCAAGTGTCAATTTACAAAAAAATATGGTTTGAAGCAGAAGCTTCGGTGTGTAAACTCAAATATGAGCTTCAACGTTCCCGTATGAAGCTTGCAACAATGGAAGTTTTCAGCAACACGCAAACAGGTGTAACGATGTGATTGTGAATTACTGTATTTGGATATTTATCGAGGTTCTCTATATGCTTCAATATCCTTACTTACCTATGTAACTTTTTTGGGTCAATGCAGTTCCAATTGACCCGTCAGAAAGTGAAAAAGCCTCCAGAGTAACCATATCTGATGGCCAACCACGTAATCATGCCAAATATTGCAGTTCATGTGCTGCGACCTTGCAATGTCATGGAGGAGGTAGTGAGAGCAGTCAATCTTCTTCTCTGATAAATAGAGTGACAACTCAACATTCCACTTATGTTTTAGCTGCTCAAGTCCCGGCTGCTTCCCCAGTGCCTCCGCCGCCTGCATTGGTGTCACAGCCTTACACGGCCGCGCCCGACAATCCTTCAGAACCATACTGTGGTTACTGTCATAAGTTGGGGCTCACCCCTCATCCATGCTACAAGAAGAATGATCAAGGAGACAATATTTTTAGTGGCGCCTCTTCTCTGCCAGGTCCATGCCAGAGCTCCTCCACCGGCCAGGAGCTTCTCACTCAACCACCACCACCTCCTCCTTCAGATATATCATCTCCAGGGTCCATTATTGCTACAAATAAGAGCATCGTAAATGGTCTTGATGCTGAAATATTTGCTCAAATGAAAGTTCTGGAATCCCGTATTGATAATATAAGCTCTTTGGGTGAGAGTAAGTGTGAGAGGCAGCAAGAACCTAGCAAGGGATCATACCCCGTTGAAGATGATGTTTTGGCGAGGCTGAGAATTTTGAAGTCCCGCCCTGATTACATAACCTCGTTGGGTTTGGAAAGCAGCAACCATCAGCTAGACACAAGTATACATGCATCAGATGAGGTTCATGAAATGTTTGCTCGATTGAAAGTTTTGGAGTCCCGCATTGACAAAATAAGCCCTTTGGGTGACAACAAGTGTGAACAGCAGGAAAAAGGAAGTGAGGGATTATATCCAGTCGAAGATGCTGTTTTGGCGAGGCTACAAATTTTGAAGTCCTGTGCTGATAATACTTCTCTGGGTCTGGAAAGCAACAAACAGCAGCTAAATGCAAGCACGGACATATCAGATGAGGTTGAAGATGTTATTATGGCCAGGCTGGAAATTTTGAAGTCCCATCCAGATGTGGAGGCATCCTCCATTGAGGCTGTTGAAGGTGTGGAGCACCCTTGTGCTGTGGGGCTGCGAGTCTCTAGTCACCAGTTACTTCCATCGCCTGCTGCAGTGTTCGAGAAAACAACATTGCTATCGGCTACCGAACCACTAGAGGTCACTGGAGAGACTCCAGCCATCCTGATCTCGTCGTCTAACAAAGCACCACCTTTGTGTAGACTTAAAGATGCACCTTCAGTGATGGAGAAAGATCATTCAGGGTTGGCAGAGGAAGCTCTGCATTCTGCGCCGTTGTTAAGTGTGCCCCAAGAAGCCGGGGGCTTGGCACAAAAGACTGCAAAAGCTAAGCGCCATCCGCACGGGCCTACGCCAAGAAGATTTCGTCTTCCTTCCACCGTCAAAATAAAGTGTCCCATCTCAGAGTAGGGGGCACAGGCTATATTGCTTAGGAGGCTGGGCATGGTAAAGAAGGATGAAGTGGATGAACGTGCCATCGACAGATGTTTGACGGTCTTGGGGGGTTCTTTTCCTAAAAGCTTGCTCCAGGCTATTTTCTGCGGTTCAAACATGGTGAAGGGCACTCCTGGTGAGTTATGGGGTATCTCGGCCCGCGATGTTATCTTCTGATTTCCCCGTCCCTGTTTGTGGTGCAACCTTGCCATATCTAGGGATCGTTGTAAGCCTCCTTGGTGAGTAGCTAGGTGTTGCTGTAGTGTTGTCTCTTGCTGGTGTCAAGGTAGGGCATTCGGACGGGTAGATGGTTTCGTTGTAAACCCGAAAAACCATGTTTGGCCTCGAACTGTGGGGGAACTATCATGTTTGCAGGGCAGGGTCTGAAGCAAACCCCTGATCGCTGATCTCCTCTTCAGTTCACCGGCCGGTAAGACGGATTTCTGCCAGCGTTAGCAGCTCAAGGTGAACTTGTTCCATGATGGCTAATAGGCGATCAAACCAATCTGGAACTGTTTAAGCTCGATCGTGTTGCTCCGAAACGTTGAGGCAGATTTTTGATATGCTATTACATTGGCAGGAACCTGCCATACCTACTGCGCAGTCATTTTCGTTTCTCTGTTTGGTCAACGGATTGTGCTGTAGTGCGTATATCGGCTAGCTTGGTACATCACCTACTCGCACCTAGCACTGATAGATTAAACGAACCTGCGAGCCATGTGATGTTAGTTCTGAGAGTGAGAGGTACGTATGTACACAACGCACAGGATGGCTGCCGCTCGTTCACTTCGGCATGCACGTCAAGGTCAAGTGTCTGGCTCGGAGCCGTTTCAAGAGTCCGCGCGTACGTCCAGGTCTGGCCGGCCGGGGGACATATACACCGGACGTAAGGTACAACCGTGCCGTGCTTATACAGGCATACAGGGGTCAGGGTAGGCACAAGTGGACGTACGTACTATAGAACACATATGCACAAGCATGCGGCGTGGTTCGGTGCAGGCCAAAAACCAGAGGGGAATAATAAGTCAACACGGTCAATGTTGCAGTCGCGGCAGGCAGGCTGTGCTCCCGGCGGGTCCGCGTGCCGACCGGCCACAGGTCGACGCCAGTGGCAGTACCGCAGCAATAGACACGGTGCATGGGTGGTATCTTTATCCTGCCCGCAGCGGCAGCTAGCGCGCGCGGCAGGTACGTGCGTCAGTCAGTACGCGCAGCTAGCCCGGCCCGGAGAAGATGATGCACATGCAGCGGCGTCGGCCTAGCTCAGTGTGGATCGATCCCACGCCTCCATGTGCAACATGCGGTGCGTACACATCCCTCCATGGCAAGTCATGGAAGGCTGATGTGATCCTCGACCAAAAAGAGGAAGGCTGATGATGGTGATGCACCGGCGGCAGCGAGCGTACGTAACGGTAGCTATAGGTAGGATGCTCCATCCATCAAGTTGAACGTACGACGGGTGGGCGCGGGCGTCGTGCAAGGCGGGCGGGCACGCGCGCGCGGCGGCGGCCGGCCCATGCATGTCTCGATCGTGCCGTGGAGGAAACAAACCTAAAGCGCGCGGAGGCGGCTCAAGTTGGTCCCGGCTGCCGGTGGCCGCATGCGGCGCGTGCGCACTGTACGTACCGTGGACGCGGTGGGGATGGATGGAACTCGATCGAACCAGATCGTACATCTTCAGCCAAGCATGGCCGTGAACAGTGCCCATGGAAGGAGAATAAGAGATCCCCATGTCACGTAGTAGTGCGTACGTACGTACATACGTGCAGAGAGAGCCAGCTAGAGCCTTTGACAATTGCGATAGCAGCACGCACCGTGCATCCTACCGCCGCAGTGCTCCATCCATGTAGCACAATATATGCTGCACTGTAGCAGCATAACATCGATCATGCGGCGCGGCGCCGTAGATGCGTCGCGTACCTTCCATCCGTCTGGCCATCCTGGCTTCCTCTTCACTCTCGTTACGTACTTACCGTGATGCGTCGCCTTCGCCGATCGATCGAGGGGGGTCCCCTGCTATCGCCACCGGCCCCCTTTTGATCGATCGACCGGCCGGGCCATTACTGAATGCATGCCCTAGCTAAGCTAGCGCGGTGGCCGCCGGGTGGCTGTGTGGCGCGCTGTGCGTACGTACGTAGATCCTCCCCCACCACGCACCGCGAGCTCTCACGGGCCGGCCGGGACCCCTTCGTCTCCCTCTCTCATGCATGCACGCGCGTCTCTGCGTCGAGGGCCTAGCGGCCTAGCTTAGCTCCGTCTCTAGGCGGATTCATTAACATCATGCGCTGCAAAACATATGCAGACTCACTGTGCTTAACTATATGTAGGACGTATCCATGATTCATGAATGCTAGGTCTGGGGATCCTATGGAATATCTATGCTCGGGCCCAGTTATGACGTGCATGTGGCGTAGCAGATATAATAGGCGCTCATTTGATAGATCCATTAACTAAAAGGTGGAAATTGCTTTAAAAGATCAAAAGGAGTTTATTGGACCGAGCTGATTTGGCCGTATGCATGACCGATGCGGTGCATGTCGAAATATATTTTCCGCCCCTCTTCGCCAGTTCATTCTTTTAAATAAATTGGCTAGAGCATAAATTCAAAATAGTATCCGAACCAAAAGATCTTCGGTTCAAGACCTTGCCTACGCATCATTAAAAAAATTTGCGGCCTACATCGATCACACATCTAAGGACCACAAAAGCCTAGGCCTTAGGGGAAGTGTTGAAATATATTGCTTGCCTCTCTCCATGAGTTAGGACTGATATTTTTCCTCATGCTCGCATATACTTAGGGCTTGACAGTTGAGTGGAATAATGGTAATTTTTAGAAATTTTCCTATTACTAATTAACGGGGTTATATTTTTCCCATGTACTAGTATTTTGCGTAATGGGATTGGTTTAAAATTATATAGCAATTCTCCATTTACTCCAATCTCTTGTAGGATTCCAAACATTCTTAGCAATCTCAAGCTTTCAGTCCATTGAAAAGTCTAATGCAGCACCTACATTTACCTGGCCTCATTCTTTCTGTCAATGAAAAAACTAGCATGCAAGTATTTCGGATGCGCGTCGTATGGGGCATGAGGAGGAGAAGGAAGGGGAAGAGGGGGAGGACAGGAGGCGGCTGGCTGGCCTGATTAGCTATAGAATGAGAAAATTTAGAGTAAATGCATTTTTTAAGTGTAGAAAAATAACATGGGAGGTTTTGAGTAAATTGTGGAATTAAGATTTTTTTCTTCTCAAAAGCAAGAATCAAAGTTTTTGGCCATCATATTTTCCCTCTAATTTCTAGTTTTATTATCGGAAATGTTAACGCCCATACATGTGGGCGTTTGTATCTCGCCCACACGCGTGGATCCGCGTCCGTTCGTGAGCGCACGAATCTTGGCATGTTTCTAGTGCCACGTAGGACTGGCCTGATGTGTGGGCGTTCAGCCGGTCGCCCACACGGCCGTTTCACCACACAGGAGGGGCTGATGTGTGGGCGTTCAGCAGTTCGCCCAGACGCCACTTTGCACGCACACACAAGGGCTCGTGTGTGGGAATTTGGCATCTTGTCCACACGCCCTTCTCCTCTCCCACACCCAAGCTGCTAGTTGCCATGTGTTTTTGCACTGCACATGGCAACTGCCCCTAGTGTGCTTTTATAAGCAGGTGGCAACTCTCTTTTTTTACCCGCGTTTGCCATGTGTTTTGCAGGGTACACGATAACTGCCTAGTGTGCACGTAAACAGATGGCAACTCTCTTTTACCGAGTTGTCATATGTTTTTGCATGGTACATGGCAACTGCCCTAACGTGCATGTACATGGCAACTGCCCTAACGTGCACGTAAGCAGATGGCAACTCTTCCTTTTTACATGGCAACTGCCCTAGCATGCTTGTGAGCACATGTCAACTCTCTCAACTGCCTAGTGTTAGTATGTGGCAACTCCTAAAGTTATGAAATCATGGCAACTACATTAGATCAGACCATACATGGCAACTGCAGTTGAGCAATCATGACAACTGCAGTTGTCCGACATGGCAACCGTAGTTCAGCGACATGACAACAGCAATTAAACGAACATGGACGAGGGTCTGGACCATGGCAACTGCGGGCGCGCGGTGACCGTCACCCGTGGCGTGCGGGACCAGGAGGTATGAGGCCTGACATACGGGCGTGTGGGCGTTATCAACTTCGCCCACACGCACGCGTGTGAGAGGGATCGGGAAGGAAAAAAGAGGCGTGTAGGCGCTAATTGTTTTGCCCACACGTAGGTGTGTGGGCTGTTCCTCTTATACACCACACAAAATGTGTGGACGGATTTCCTAACGCCCACACATGTGGCACCTATCGGCGTCCTTTATTATTTGTGTTCTCTCTAATTGCTTGAGTGATCTCCCTCATAATATTTCTAAATTAATCATTTTATGTTCTGGTTTTGAACGATTTTAAGGGAAAAGAATATATATGCCTTTTTTGAGAGAGATGTGCCTTTTTAGTTCCCCAAATTTGACACATTCCCGCTCCTCACATTTTTTGTATTTTCTCACTTATAATTTCTTTTCTGAAGCTCTCTAGGCTCTACATTAGTTGATGGGCAAAAAATAACCATCTTCTTGCATATTTTCTCCTTTCTAAAATATAAGACAGGTACTATAATTTATCGCGGTCTTCACACGCTGATTGCGATTTTCAGTTAATTATGTGTCTACAAAGTCAGTTAAAATCCATGGAACACACGCGCACAAATTAAAACCTGGTCTGGCTCCGCACTGGACGGGTTCCCAGTAGGATGTGCAACATATACTACATACAAGATGTTCGATGTTGGATGTACGTACTCTGGGAAAAGCAAAGCTCTCCTTGACAGCAGCATGACTGCACGGAGCTCCTGATCAGTTACTGAATTAAAAAGAAATGCAGCAGCCTTCCATTTTTATTCATCTGATCTGCAGCGTCTCCCCATATGCTTTATATGTGCAAA